AGAGCAACCTACACAATACAGTTCATTCCAATGCACGCACATCCAGGAGTTGCTACAGAACAGCTGGAAACGAAATCACAGTGCAACACTGCCACATAATCCGCTCACCTAATCATCACAGCACTACTAGCACACTAATGAGAAAAGCCTGTAAGAAACAAAACAGGTGACAGTTGGAGTAAACAGTGTAAAATGTGAGACAACAGAAATACCACATTTCTTAGCTCATGCCTGAGAGAAACAATTCTCTTCAGCTCTTTTCTCTCTGCTTTCACAGCCCTGCTCTAGGAACGAGCTGGCCCAAGGGACCAGGAATCTGGGACATGGTGACTATTCTGGATCAAAACCCTTTTCTTTTTCAAAGGCAGCCGGGATGCCCTCTGCAGTGACCTCCAGCAGCCCAACTTGTAACCTGCTACACAGGTGACTCCAGAGGCCATTTATTGATTTAATTAGGGCAGACAAAGAAAAGACCTAATCAGTCCTTGAAGTAGACGGAACATGCGATGAGCACGCTGCCATCCCAGCTCTGCCTGCTTAGAGAAAGTGAGATTAGTGATCTTTAAAAGCATGAGCAGATCCACAACTTTCATAATAACGGGTACAGGATCTGACATTCACGTGGCAACTTTTATGTTGAGGTGTCCTGAAATACATGAAAAGACACGCAGCTCCACACCTCCCTTCCTGCCCTGCTTTACAGCTCCACCTGCACAACAGCATCTCTGCTCAGATGTCCTGCAGGCCTGAAACAATCCCCAGCCCTCTGATCCAAAACCAGCAACGTTTTTTATCGTATAGAAATCATTCCTATTTTCTTTACATCATCAGTGAACCTTAATTAGTGCCTACCTTGATAGCGTTCCTTCAGAATAATAAAAACAACAAACAATAGCAAGCAAATATATATTAAATTATCCTCAATTCAGAGAGCTGTTGAGACATAAACGCAGACTGAAGTGAACAGGTGATCTTCAAGGGAAATCCAAATACCACAGAAAACAACATACAGACAATCACGGTAGCTGAGCTGTTTTGGTGGGTCAAGATTACCCCCACCTGGGACACTTGGTTTTCCAGTGACATTCTCTAAGGGCATCACCCATTCTCCCATGTTGGGATTCTCCCAGTGGTGCCCTATAGGCATCCTATCTTCCTGGCCCACAGGGAAGGAAAAAAAAGAAGAGAATCAGGAAACACTCACTTGGTCATGTCCTGAGCAATTCCCAAGATGCGAATGAGCCCAGACTTCCTGCTGTCCCCTCAAATATGTTATTTTCCACTCCCACCTTTTTTCCTCCTACTTATCTCCCTCCCCCCTTGCCTTCTGAGGCTGACTGAGTCAACTAGTGCAGATTAGATGCCAAGCAATGCAGGCTCTGTACAAAGATTCAACTCCCACAGACAGGCTGGAGAGATAAAAGCAGTCTAGTCAAACACTGTCCAGAGACAGCACGGGGAGAGCTGGGTTTCCAGTGACTCCCACTGGGTGATGTCTCACACTGGTGACAGTCCAGCGACTGGAGGACCAGAGGTGTACACACTTCTTTCTGGTGCCTGTGTTTAAACAGAAACGAAGCGGGTCACATTTTCCAAAACCGTTGCTCTTTGGAGATCAGCTCAACTGATGGAAACTGTGATTCAGAGCTCATTGCTCAGAGGTGCAATGAGACAGCTCTCCTCCTTGCACTGCTCTACTGGGACATAAGGGCACTGCCCCATGGGAAAGCTCACCAAAACTTGCTGTAGCAGCACATTCTGCAGGTAGGCAGGCTTGCCCATCTGCAGTTGTGCCGCTCAGCCTTCCTTTGCAGTGCTCCCCTGCCATTTTGAGCAGCATCATTTTCTCCTTGAATGATGCACAGAACATCACAGCATTTGTGGTGGTAAATAGTTCAGTGGCAAAGTGCCCGCTCCATCTGCGGACCTCCAAATGACCCTGAATGCAGAGGTACAGAAAAGCTTTCCATGCTCATCCGGCCCATCTCTGGTTACATGATAAGAAACGAGGCTGACACAGCAATATAAATGTTACTACTCGCTAAGAATGACCGCGGGTCAGGCCACAGGATCCAGGGGATACCCGGTAACAGAAGCTGTCATATTTATCGCTGGCGTCTTCAGAGCCAGCTTTAGTAGCTGGAGACGGAGCACACAAAAGGACTATTCAGTGCAGCCCATGGTCTGAAATGAAACAGATGCGCTGTGGAAGTTTGCAAACTCCCCGGCACAGAAGGTTGGCAGATCTCCGCTCCGTAACCAGGGCCCATCTTCTTGGCACAGCCCTCCGCACCCCGGTGCCAGCAGCACTGCTCCTGCTGTGCAGACGAAGGGAGGTCTGGAGGACAAAGCACTCAGCTTGGCAGTTAAAGGCAGGGAAAACTAAACCAAGGCTGAGAGCCCACTCGAGCTTTTAAGCCCTCCCACCAATTTTGGATGGTAAGGTAAGATTTTCTGTTGTTTGGGTGGGGTTTTTTTTTCCTCATTTCTGGCAAATTACTGAGCAGAACAGGAAAGCACAATGCTGTAAAGTCTAGCATCTGACTTCCTTCTAGTTTTACACCATGTAAAAAAGCCAAGGTCAAGGTGCAAAGAATGCATGTAGAGGTCAGATTTCAGAAAACGGTATGGCACAAAGCAATTTTGATGATCCAGTAAAAGGTAATACAGTAAAATAGGTAAAAGACCAAAGGACAAATTTGAAAAAGGTCAGTTTTGTGTCTGGAAAGTGTAAGACAAAATTCTTGTGTTTTAAATGGGGAAAAAAAAACATTCCAGATTGAAATTAATTTTATACCCTTTCTAAGACCAAACCAAAATGCTTTTGTTCGTAGCTGGTATTTCAGGAATTAGTACAACCAAAGGCACCTGGTCTGGTTTTACGGACTGGAACGCTCTTGGAAAGCAATCAGATACGATTTGGACAAAAACAATGGAGGCCCAGACACAGAGGCTGCCCTGGGAGAGTATACCAGCTGTCTGCTCAGTTTCAAACCTCTAATCATGTTCTTGGAGAGAAAGCAAGGGGACCTGTTAGGGGTTGCTGAGCTCTGAGCTCAGGGCCAGGTCCAGGCAGTGGAGCCCACGAGAGGGAGTCCTCCCAGCACAGAGGCAGCCCCAGTGCCTTGGACTTGAATTTCTGGCACCCGGACAGCAGTAAATGAGACTGAGTTTCTGAATATTCACCACGGGCTGGGGACGAGGCAAGGGGATTAAAAACAGTGGCACGAGCAAAGATGAAATAGTGGAAATGGGGAGAGCAGCAGGATGAAGGCTGGCAGCACATGGATGGGCAGAGCACCTGCTGGCATGGCATGCATTGCTCCCAGGGAATCCAGGCTACTGGTACTGCCTCAAAGCAAAGCAAAGCCTTGACAGAAATATCCGAAGCCCTGCCATGCCCTCCTTCAACTCTTTAAAAAAATCTTTACCCCTGCTTGCAAACAGGAGCATTCAACAGCTGGCAGACTGCAAAGCTGCTCCTCCACAGATCGTTCCAAGGGACCCAGGTGCTCTCCCCATTGATTTCCTTAGGCCATGCTTTGCCTCAATGCAGTGTGTGACATCACATGAAGATATCTCACTTTGCCTTCCATTCACCCCAGTGAGATGCTGGCAAGTACCTGAGCCCTTTGTTAGGAGTCTAATTCTCTTGGACCCTGCAGAAGGGCAGCAGTGTTTCCAAAGATGATTCAGCCCACCCCATCAGCCTCTGTGCTACTAAATGGGTGCACCAAGCATGAGGAGGGGTGAAGTCATCCAGCTTTGTGCACCCACGATTCTGATCTCTGTAAAGGACCTCCTGTTGCTGCCACTAAGCTCCCAGAGCAGCACACCGCATACAGAGCCCTGGCACCTTGCTCTGCAGCATGTTCAATACCCTGCAGTGATGCCCTGAATCTGCCCCTTTTCTGCTGGGCCATGGACCCTCCCTGTCATCACCAGGACAGACGGGTGCTCTCAGAGAAATATCCAATCTGCCAGGAGTCTGACTTGCCTCCTGCACCTTACTTCTCCCCACTGACCCAAAAGTATGCTTGGTGGAACAGGACTGTGACCCAGGACATGTAATCTCGTGCTTCATGTTACAGCAAATCTACAACTAAGAGCTTGCACATGCAGCATGAGAGAATGAGAACTGCTCTGGAGTACTTGCACTATAAAACACTGCACGCCTGAGAGGTTTTTGGACTCCAAGTAAGCCACAAATATGAAGTGTGAATGGTTTACACTGGCACCTGGTCTTCTCAGCAGCTGAATATGCATAAACTGTGTTGAAGCTAACCAAAGGAACTATCAAAGCACCAGGAAGCCATCACAGAAGTGAGTCCTGGTTATGGGAACTGTAAGAACCCAAACCTTTTGAGGAGTGTGATTCAAATTCTGACCCCAGACTAAGGCATAACTTTTCCTGAAGCCACCGTAGACACAGGCTTGCACCAACTGCAGATCTGGTCCTGTCTGAAACGCTTTCAAAGAAACCAAATTGCATTCAGTTTCTTAGGAGCTGCCCCAGATCTCACGTTACCAGCATCCAAAGACAGAAATCAAAGCACAGCATACTTCAAGGTATGAATCAGCAAAAGAACTCCTGGATTTCTAAGATGCATTTGATAAGCTGCTGTTCCCTGCACTACTATTATTATTTGTATTTTTCAGAAATTTCATAGTGTTCTCAGTACTTTGCAAACAATGTCAGAATTCATATCTTTTCCACGCAAAGTACCCATTGGGGTTAGTGCAAAAAACTAAAAGCCATCCAAAAAAGCAGAAAATCCAAAGCTGACTCAGTTTTGTCTCACTATAAAGCACTTTCTGAAGCATCTTCTCATCAACCATCTCCTTACTAGAAATCATTGGACTTAACACCATTTTTAAAACCTTTTCAGTCTTACAGCTACGTAACTCCTTCCTGAAACAAGCCAACTTCAGTTGTAGCATTTCTTAACACCTTTACATTCGTATGCAGGCCCAGATTCAGCCCTCAGGATGCTACTCACAGAACTCAGAGTCACTCCAGGGAAGAGGCTGACTGATCACGGTGGTGATTCTATGACATCTGCAATGCACAGCACTGCTGTTGCCTTTGAATACAACTTCAGCCTCGCCTCAGCGATCCCTCCTTTGTGGTGGCATTTCTTTCTCATCCAGCTGCCAAAAGGAGATCTGAAATGAACATCATAAACATTGATTTTTTTCCTGCTAAGCATCCAAAACCATATCTGAGATAAACAAACAAAGCAAAACACTTGGCCTGAACCATATTCTGGCTCCAAACAAATCTGGATAAGAAATTTGTGGTTGAAATCTGTCATATTAAACCCAGTGAAGTAAATCTATTTCAGATGTGTCCATTTCTGTGATTCCGGAGACCCAAAATATTCTGTGAGTTGATTAACATCCTTTGCCATCATTCTGGATGTGACTCACAGGTAGGTCTGTGCCACGGGGTCAGGAATACCCCAGTTGTGTCTGAGAGAGCTAATCCAGACCCAGAAACACCAAGCAGCATGTAGGAAGACGTAGGTTTTACATGGGCAGTCTAGTTTCTGGAATCAGAGCATCTCTGTGACCCTGTGCCAGAACTAGCTTTGGGATCTATTCCACCCAAGGACATGCCCTTAGGCCTGAGCACATCTCACTTACCTTTAGGAAGCAGCCTGAAGTGCCTCAGGTGAGAGACATCCCCAAGGCACTCATGCAATCAACAGCCAGAGGTACATTTGGAGATGCCAATCTCTTGCATTAGCTACATTGCCTTAGGGCAGTTCAAGCCCAATGATCTAAGCCAGCCAGTGCCTCAGATCCAGCTTTCCTTTGTGCTGTTATCCTGGCAGTTTTTTGGCTCCTGCCCAAAAATGGAGCACCTTGGGGATCTCACATCACAGCCCAAGCTTTCCAAATAGCATTATCTGCAAAGCCATAAGGACGTATGTGGATCATCAGTTCTCATACAGAGCATCTTTCCTTCCCATCGATTTTCCATCACTGCTCTAACTTCCAGGAAACACAAGGGATTTCCTGTGGCACGTGGGACTCAATGGCAGGACTCTGCTATAACCAAAGATGATGAGAGGCTGCAGAGCTCCAAATGTGCTGCACCTTGTACTCGTAACTTCCACTGAGTTGAACTTTTCCCTAAAAAGCACTAATTAACACTGGACAGCCCCACAGCAATTCCTCATCTGCTCTGGAGCAGAGGAGCCCATCACTATGGTGATACAACATTAAAGGGAGGGCTGGGTCCAAAATGCTTTTCTGGCAGGAAGATGCATGCACCAGGCCAGGATCAGGGATGCCAGGCGAGCTGCTTGTAACTCTGGAGGAGATGCTCCAGGCTTACCCCTGTGTCACTGAGATTAGCCCTGGCCCACGGCCTTTGAGGACAGCTCCATCCTGGCAGGCAGATGGCTCGCCTTCTAATTTGGAGGGGCTGAATGACTTTCCAAACCTTTGATTCCTGACTGATGTATTCACTTCAGGAGACACAAAAGTACAAAATCTCAGCATGGAGTGACTCCCGTGCTTTCTTTTTCCTTCCTTCCCACCCCCCCTGCGCCTCGTCTTTTCTTTTCTTCTCTCCCTGGACAGTTTTATAATTTTGGCATGCAGCCAGAATGTCTGTCCTTATTAGCTTGGGCTGGCTGTGAAACACCTGCAGCCCATTATAGCGGGAGGATGAAAAAAAGTCAACTGTCATAGGTAAAGTAATGGCCACTTATTTCTTTGTTTCAACACACTAAAGGGACATTCGAGAAGGGAAGGCAAAAACGACATCGCTTCCCCATCATGCCTGACACTGACTGGACTCAACTGAAGACACTGGGTCATATTTTTATCTGAGAAGTGACTCCAATAAACAGTAATACCTTCACACCAGTGAGGATCCCAGTTTATTCAATGTGACAAGCACTTGGTGCATTTGAATAGTGTCTTGCACACCTTTTTTTAATTTATGTCTTTATTATGACCTAAATAGGCATTAGGAAGAAACTTCCCTCTGGGCAGGTTATAACTAGACTGCCTACTGCCATTTCCCTCTAATATCCCAGCTGCAAAAGCTGCCAGCTCTAGCCAAGCCTCCTTAATGGCAGCACAAAAGGGGTGTGGGAAGGGGCAGATGTGTCCAAGTCCCACTGGCCACTGCCTCTACCAGCAGGGCTGCAAGAGTGACCAGGGTACAGACAGGGACATTACTCGGAGCATCACTACAGGCTTTGGAGTTACACCTTCTACAGTAAACACAGAAATTGCTTTCACAACCCAAGCACAGGGCAGCACTGGGGAGCCAGTCACAGGCAGTGTTTACTCACCCAGTTCCCAGCCTGCAGTGCTTCCCCACCTTACTCCAAAGTCCTGCTAACTGACCCCAGAGCCCCACTGGTTGTGGGTCTGCACCATCCATCTGAAGAAGAAATAAGCCCTATTCACAATTACAAAGACGTGTCGGTGCACAGGGATGGCTGTTACTCTGTCCCTGGTTCCTGACAAGATGCAGACAGCAAGGAGATCAAAACATCCTTCTGAATCCCATTGTTTAGCAGTGCCACAAAAAATATATATACCTGTATTGAAGGAAAGGGCACAACCAGACCTCCTGCAATAGATGCCTAAGTAAAGGTGCATGCATCTTAACAGGGATGCCAGAGAGATAGGGGCTGGCGGGACATCTAGAGGTCTAAATAATTTATCATGCTCCTGAACTTTGACAACAAAGTATGCAGTCTAAATGCAGCTCCAAGAGTTTTGCTGCTGGCAGCAGACTTGCTCTCAAAGGACTAAATGGTATTTCAATCCCAGCTGCCCATTCAGTGAAAATGCCACAGTCATGATGTTAAGAGACCCAAGGTTCCTTCTAAAACTTTGCTGTATTTTAATCAAACTTCCTTGCCTAGCTGCAAGGCAGTTGAGACATTTACCCCAGCAGCTCATGTTTTCAAGTTCTGCATCCACTGGAGTGCAGCCATAAGAAAAAAAAAAAATAGAGATGAAATATTTGTCACCACAAGGGATTCTGCCAAATACTCCCAACTGCTGTCCTGGAGCATGGAAACACAATTCTGCTGTTGCACACAGGTCTGACTATTTGCATTTTTAATAATTCAAGAGTTTAATTAGTATCATGGCCTTAATCAGAAGCTGAAAATACAGCTGAAGTCATCAGAGCTTAATTAGTTTTTTAAAAAAATACTGCACTCTGAAAACATCTTTAACACAAAGGTCTGTCCTTCGCTTGGTGACTTAGAGTTCAGATGAGCAGAACCTGTTGCTTCTTGTTCCCTGCATCAGTATAACTGAAAATAACTCAAAATCCCTGAACAATACAAACTCAAATCAGGTGTCTTCCCCTCATTCTTCCCACAAACTGCCCTACGGACTCAGGAAAAACTGAGCAGATTGAAGAGAACCTCTGGGTTCATCCCACAAAATGCATGTGAATTTCCCCTGTACAGGAAATAAACACTTCTAGCAAAAATACCAAGTATCACTGGATCTTCACTCATGTGGGCAGGAGCAATAACTGTGTACACCCAGAAAAATCACTGCTCAGCAGAGGGACCATGGAAGCTACCTTATGCAGGAGCTCCCTTGCAGCCCCAGGTGGGTGCTGTAGCACTGCAGGTCTGGTGCAAGGGATGGAAGTGGTCTGCTGGGAAATGACCACCAACGTGGGGCTGAGGGAATCTCAAGCCCTGGCAACAGCCATCCATTTACTCACCAGACAGATTGATAGCATTGTACAGGACATCCTGGATGAACTTTTTCAAACAATATGTGATTTAATGGTGGGATTCATCACCACCCAATGCTGCGGAGGCCAAATATATAAACAAGTTCATAAATGGATTAGCAAAACTCATGGAAGATAGGTCAATCATAGACAATTAAATATGGTAGTCCGGATGCAACTTCCAGTTCAGGAAGTTAGTCAGCCTAATGCCCTTCCACCTCTGATTTACTTGTAAAAAGGAAGCCTGAAAAATTCTCCTGATGCCAAAACTGTCCCTCGGCTCCAAGCATTAACTACAGTCACAATATACTCTTTTTTATTTGGCAGGGGGAGGGGATTACATTTTCATTCAGTAATGATATTACAACATGCTATTTATCTCCCTCTGCAGCTCCTGGACCTCTGTGTAACCTCCCATCTCCCTGTCCCCCTAGGAATATCACAAATAAATTAGTGAAATTTACTGGAAGGTGATAGCAATCACAGATACTGCTAAATTCCATTTAGCAAGGAATAAGGAATCCAATCGCTTGTGTACATAGGAAAGGTCTGAGTGGATCGTACTGTTAAAACATTCTGTCCTTCAGAGTACTGGACCAGAGGAAGGTGCTGGAAAGCCAGGATGGAAAAAATACAAGCTGGTTTGTCCCCAAGGAAAGTTCTAACCTCAGGACAGTTAGTGCTTGATTTATTCCCTGACACATGCGTGCACAGAGGCTAATTTTATACATAGACACAAAATACACGCAGAGTACATTGCACACTGTGATGCTGTGTATCCCCATCCCCTTTGGATCCTGTTAAACTCCCACAGGACCCAAAGAGCAGCTCACAGCACAGGTTATCTGCTCTCCATCCAGCTGCCCTCCTACCTGCTGCATTTCTCCCCACTCTCTCCTTTTTGAGGGTGTTTCGGGATGTTGTTGGAGAGCAAAGGACAAGATGACAAATGAGCTAACACACAGCAACGGAATGTAAGTGAGTCTCGGCTATTTTTAATTAAGAAGCGATGACAGCTGACTAAATTCCCTGACACTGCAGTTAAAGGCTCCCTGACCCAGACATCATTGGACACTCTCCTATGACCAATATATATTGGTCCCAACGGTGCTTCTATTATTGTCCCCGCCGTCTCGACAGATGCAGGACTAACAAAATCTATGTCTATTATCAGCATGCAAATAATGAGATAAAAGTGTGAATGCTTATGAGCCAGAGGAGGCAGCAGGTGAGAGGAGGACAATGAAGGTCATTTTCAAGGGGGTGCTGAAAGTGCCAATGTTTGGCTTTCAGTAAACGTTCAAAAGGTTTAGACAAATTTAACTGCCTTTTGAATTTTCGGTTGGTTAAACCAATGATGGATTGACCATGAGAGAGGCAGAGAGACAGAAAGAACAGTTCCTGCTGAAAGGCAGATAAAAGATAAGAGGAAAGGCAGCACGATCTGTGGACTGACTTCTCTCAGCCCACAGATCACAGGGAGGGCTCCACAGTGAAAGCTTATCTTCTCATTGCCAGACCAAAGAACCCAGCAGCCTGGTAAGGGAATCTGGATTTGAAGGCTAGGGATACACCTGACTTCATACAGGGATTCTTTAACAGAGCTGAGAATACCACAAGGTGTCCAGCTCCCACTACCACAACAGGCTGCCTATCCTTCAGTGCAACAATACACCATGAAGCTCATGCTAGGCAAGGTGTCAGCTCTGCATTGCTTTAGCTGTCTTGAAAAGATGTCAAAAGGAAAATACCAACCACAAAAAGACTCACTCACTCACTCAGGGCTTGCATGGGCAATGAATCCAGCATGAGATCACTTTACCTTGAGCTCATTAGTTGGTTTCAGTAGGACAGACAAAGAAAAGATGCCCTTCTATCCTCTCCAAAGGAGAGAAAGGGGTAAACTGGCAGACACGTCAAAGTCAAACAAATCACGTACAAACTTGGCATGGGCGAGACAAATACATTAAGGAACATCATCAGGAACTTTCCAGTATGGTTGCACAGTGGGAGGGGGAAAGAGATGCTTTCTGCTGTTGCTAAGACAGTTCCCCCAGCCTTACTCTCTCCCAACCCAATCCACGGGTGTTCTCCTCCCATTGGCTCACCAGCTGCATCGAATGATCATGACAGGTTTTCGTCCTCCTCGCCCTATTGGCTTCTGCCTATGGCCTATTATCAGGGGAGAGCAAATCAGACACGTAATCAATAGTTTGCGAGAAGGAACGGGGCTGCACGATGCTACATTTGCATGAAATCTCTTGCTGCTATGCCTCTGCATTCAGATAAGCACAGATTAGCTGCATCAGCCGCTCTCGCAGAGGTGAGCATGGATGGCAGACGGATAGCAAAGCAGCACTGCAGTGAGCTGCCAAGGAAAGGCAGCGCTGAATGCTCCAGTCCTGCTCTGCAGAAGGTAAGCCAGTGTGAATCAAAGACCATCCTGCCCCAGCACCAATCTAGATGTATGCAGAAAACTTTTTCTGGTAGCCCACCTGAACTAGTATTCCCAGCTTGGGTGCTCCTCAGGGCAATGAGCTAGGAGAATAACAAAAAGGTGCATAGCAGGGGAGAGATCTTCCCTGTAGTGCCATAAGTGATACCCTCTCCTGCAGGGATGTATGAAGATGCATTGTTTGAAGGCCTCCAGAGTTGTTCTGGGGTGGGCACACAGCACGGAAGCAATCCACAAGGCCACAGACAGCTTTCCTGGCCAGATTCAGGATGATGTGTGACAAGCCAGCCTCCATAGCCATGCTCCTTGGTCACCACTGGCCTGCAGAGACATGGGAACAGTGGTTTCTTCATCTTGCAGCCACAAAAACACATTATTAGGAAGAAAAGCACAGCAGCAGTGGGATGGTTCCCAGTCCCACCACAGCCCAGGTCAAGGCCTGGAACAAGAAGTGGCAGATGAGTTGCAATCAGTTTCCAACTATAAGTAATGCTGCCTTGAACCAACATCACATGTCTGCAACACCCATGTAAAACAACCAGATGTTGCCAATGGCTTTAAAAGCAACCACAAAATAAAACTACTTCTTAAGGATGGGGACCTCAGGCACCAGGAGATCAAGTGCATCACCAAGTTAAGTACAGTTAACTAGTGAACCAGCCCCAGCCTTCAAGCTTTAAATTCCCTGATGAAATATCCCCAGGCACGTTGGGACACCAGGGAACAGCAGCCCTTTGGCTATTTTCTTTTGCCACACAGGTGAGTCAGTATCCGGACTACAGAAGAAAAACTGGTGTTTCTTTTTCTGTCCAGGACCACAAGTGACTGACAGCAGAAGGAGTTCAGTCCAGCTTCCAGCCTGCTCCTAACAGAGGAACACACAACTACAAGAGGCCAGGGAACCCAGCAAACCCATCCACTGTGGTTGGACATATGCACAATCGATATATGTACACAGTGCTTTTTGTCTTTTACAATAAGCAGGTTCATTTAGGAAGAGTTATAACTTAGATGTTACAACATAATACAACTATGAGGCAAGACAGGAAAATGTTCTCTGGAAATTTCCACTGCCAACCTTTTTATTTTTTTTATTTTTTATTTTCACTGGGGGAGCAGTTGGATCAGTTAAAAAAAAAATTCTAAGTTTTTGACCTGAATTCATTCATATTTCTGACATCCATGGGGACGGGTTCTTCAACATAAGATGGACTTTGAATTTAGAAGGAAAAAAGAGAAAAAGAGCCCATCTAAAAATCAGGTTCAAATCCCTACTTGATCTCCTCTGTAAGGATCCTGAATCAGGTCTACAGTTACAGTTATTTGGCTTCAAGTATTTTGGGATCTCTCTCCAGCTGATATGGTCTAAGTTTCATCCTAAGGCAGAACAGGAAGAATGTTTTGAGTTCTCAAAAACGTTCATGACTTTGGACAAATACATTACACTCAGCTTCAAAACAACTCTGTTCTCTTTTTGATCTTATGTAATAGTCTAGATGTCTGTGTTTTGATTCCTCCCAATTGTGCACTCAAACTGGTACAGAGCTCCATGAAAGAAAGTTAATGGACTGGAAGAAAATGTACACTTTTTTTCTCTCTCTAAACCATGTGCCTCTTTCCAGAGAAGAAAAGCATGAAATTTAGCAACAACTGAGCTGATAAAACAAACTCAAATAAGAACTCCTATCGTAAGCTAAGTCTGCTTCAGCCACTCAAGAAGATAGAACCGATGAACGAAGCCCTGTAGATCAATAAAAACCTCTTAAATAAAACGAGAGCTCTTTCAGACTAATTCAAGAAGCATCCTACAGTGAAAAAAGATTCTGTCCCTGACGGCCTGGGATCAGACTTCTTTTCTACTTCCTCTCAGTGTCTACACAACAGCATTTATCTGAACCAATTAGATTCTTACGTGTAGGAAATACTCTATGCAAAGGTGAAGCTGGTATGTTACAACCTGTGTTGCTTTGACCATTACGGTGATCAGTTCACTTTTGATTGAGTACTTCACCACCCAAGTAGGAAGGGGTTCTTCCTTACCTGGAAATGAATTCAGTCCTGAATGGTCTTGTTGGTGAGTTCTGCAACAAGAAGGCAAAAAAGGATGGATGCGCATTTCTTCACCTCCACCTTGCAGCAGGCTCAACCTAGGGCAGCAACAATAAGAAACACATGGATATAAGCCTAATGGATGATCAGACAGCAAACATAGGGAGGGGAAGGAGATAAAGCCTCTTTCCCAGGGATACAGAGTGCTCAGACACCTTCTGCTGTTTGCTCGTCCCACAGCAATACTGAGACATTCTGTACAGCCCCAACGGCTGCACACAGCAGTGCTGGCAAAGGAAACAAAGCTGGAGCTCACTTTGTTCACACCCCAATCCTGCTCATGATATATCTGTTTCTGCCTCACCACTTGGACCTCAAGGCTTTCAGGCTGCCATTTACCAGCAGTCAGGCATAGCTGGCAGAGAAGATGGGGTCAAGAAACCTGAGAGCCATTCGTGAGCCAAAAGGTTTCGTTCAAATTCATTTCCAACTTTTCATTTTGAAACGTTTTCATAATTCCCAGCATTTCTCTTTTCAGATCTCACTTTACAAAACACTGGAATGGCACTGTTCTTCTATTTTTTGTTTCCTAGAGAAAACTGTTTTCTGTGTGCATTTCAGCATTTTTACAAGAAACAATCCAAGGATATAGCCATCCTTTCTTAGTACATTGTATAACTGCTCATGAAGGATTTCAACTTCTGTCTTTATCTGCTTCTGGTTTGTTTCCCAGGTTCATTTCATTAGTACAATATCGAAAGGAGTTCATATTATTAATAAAGCCAAACCACAGGAATACATCTTGTAACTGCTCTATTTCTCTGATGCCAAAGGCTAGTAAAAGGTCTCCAAACTTCAATTTCATTTTTTCATAGTTCTATGCAAGGTAACTCAATGTTACTAGTCCCGTTTTGCTATTAAACACAGGCACAGAAGAGTGATAAGAACAGTCCCAGGCCATAAAATAAGTAGAAAAAGACAACCAAACCCTGAGTCCTGATCCACAGCCTCCTGCTCCGTCCCAGTGGACAACATTCTTTCCTATGACTACTAAAAATATTGGGGTCTTCTGTGAACCAGAGTACGATGCTAATTTTTGAGGTGAAACGAGCTGCCCAGCATGGGAAACCACAGAAGAGAATATAATCCTCTCAACTTCCTGAACTATTGTACAATAAACAGCTTCAGAACTGGTTTCCCACAGAGACACCTGTATTTTAGGAACAGATAAGAAATGATACGTGCATACACATAGTCACATTTGTTGTTGTTGTTGTTTATACTTACACACATATAGTCAATACGCACAAAAATAAAAATACGTGTGTGAATATTAAATATACATACATCCGTATCAGAGTTACTACAATCAGAAGGAAGTTTGACTCAGCACGGTCTGAAAAAATGCAAAGAAGCACAAGAGCCAGCAAATCCTGAGCTCAAACCCAAGATCCAAGATATGACTCACCAGGTCGTCGGGAGCAACTCAATACTTTCACTGCCTTGGTTTCCCCAGCTGTAAAACAGAGCTAATTACACCACAGCACAGCTGTGGGAATGAGCTGCCTGCTCTGTGCACAGTGCTTCAGGCACAGAAAATGCAAAGATTTGCTTGAATGAGATGCAAGGAGTCGAGGCACATCCTTCCAGATGCCTTTCTCCAGCAGTCGCACGTTGCACCTGCCCACAAAACGCCTGAGCTTCCCACGTGTCCATTGGTCACAACTTTCTGCCCTTCCCTCGACACGTGCCACCACAAAACCTGGCTCCCTCTCCATTATGTAGGAATGGAATGTTGTTTCCAACAATTATATTTCTATAACTGAAGTGCTACATTGTGCCTTTGGTACCAATGCCAGTGGCTCTCATGAATGCCACCTCTTAAAAGTAAGTAAACTAACAAGTTTCCAGGCTCATTTGTTTAGAATGACAGATTGACAAACATGGTCTCTTTCACTTTTTTTCTTTTTACAAACAGCTTTTTATATCTCATACCCCAAAATAAGCCCTGACCCAGCTGCACTGCCATGTTAAACAGTAATTACTCTATATAAAGCTGACCGAATGGGAATATTTGTGGGACAGAGGAATGGAATTATTTTAGGACTTACACAAACTCTCTCTGGGAGTGGCGAGGTTGGCTGTGGGTAATGTGGTGTACCTAAGAAACAAGTGGACACAGGAAGGTTTTTTCTTCTTCTTCCAGGCCTCCGTTAAAATACACTATCTGACATTAAACCACTCTCCCAAATTTCTGCTCAGGTAAAAAGATAAAAATAAAAAATAAAAAATAAAAGCACATTAATGTTTAATCCTGGCTGCATTAAGGATGCACTCATTGTCTTTTGGGCACTTTTGGGCTCACTGAATTGTTGTTGCTCTTAGAGGAACCCTCAATACATCAAACTCTTCCCCTCTCAAATACTCAGAGCATCATTTCCAAGGACATAATTTGAAGCAGGTGAGAGCTTGGAAACAGAACTGCTCTCACCTGGGGTATGGCCTGCCTTGTAAGAGGGTGGGGATCTCTATGGGGAACCCTAGAGGAGGCTGACAGAGCTTACAGAGTGGCAATGCTCAGTTCAACAGACCTGCAGAAATTAGTGGCATGCCATTCTGGTGCAAGTGGCAGTTTTCCAGTTTCCAAAATATCCCTCCTCCTTATGTCATGGTAAAAAAGTGTAAAAACAGAAAGTGGTTTAGCAAGTAGGAACATTGCAATTCAAAATAGAATCAGAGAGGATTAGAGCAAATATCCAGACTGTTCTAACTTGTGTTTATGGTCCAAATACTGTACCAATTCCTGTTATTTTCAGGGCTTTCTTCCTGTGTTGTAACATTCTCTCTGGGATTAAACTTGGCCCATTTGACATGTGACTCATCTGACTGCAAGCCCTTGGGCATGTGCTGCAGGTTTGGTTGCTGCTCATCACCAGCAACCCATCCTGCAACCTCAGAGCCCAGTGCAACATGTTACACTGGGGCTTTTGCTGAAGGGGTAGGAAGAAAATGACAGCAGCTGCCTAACGCTAGATTTTCATGCTTAATTAAGGGCTTCAAAAATAAGTCAATTTTCTGAGCAGGATGGTGGGTGAAAAATTAAAGAAAGTGAGTTTTTAATGACTTCAGAGAAACATGAGCCCATTTTCTAGTCAGTGTGCACCCTTGCAGCCAGGGATTTCAAGTTAAAAATTTGTTGCTATGGAACTCTGCAGCATGGAGCATTGCTGATGGCCAAGCTGATCCCAGGTGGCACTCCTCTGCCTTCACAGATGTAAAACAGATTCACTGCTTTCAGGTTTGCCTTTCATTCTACCTGACTTTCTTTCTTCCAGAAGATAAGTCCTTTTTCTGTTCCTGTCTCTGATTAGTTCTTTGTGTTACCTCTACATGATGCTATTATTCAATACTGAACCCAACCTGCTGGTCTTCGTTCTCCTTCTGTAACCTGCACAAGCACCAACACCCCACCAAAACTCCCTTCTGACACAGTATTGCCTTTAGATTTAGTGTGAAATTCACAGGTGAGCTCAATTTTAGCTGTAACGAGGCACAAGATGTAGCAGGAGCTAACTGAAAGAATAAGAATTCAAAGAATAGAAACGGGGAAAAAATCAACTATGCAGAAGCAATGGATTTGTGAGCTTAGCAACAGGCTAAAAGGTTTTCTATCTCTTAATTATCACTTCAGATCACAATCAGCAAAGGTCTCCCAATAGAGGGGAGAAAAGAAAAAAAATCAGTTCAATTGACTGAATGCTGAATATCTCACCTGAAAGCAGATTCCCCGAGGTTGTTTGCCAGTGGGAAGGAGCAACCATGAACTAGGAGAGCAGCTTCTGTTGTCTGGTTCAGAGAAAGGACTTCACCAGTACTGCCAGATCCTGAAAGAGAAGGAAATTCACACTCAGTAGTGGAATCAGATGCGATCTCCACAAGCAGCCATTGACTGCTGGAGAATTCAGCACTGCTCACAAGCTGAGCGTTTGATACCTGCCTAAAAAGAACAGTGAGTCCAGGCCTGCAGAATGCAGGTAACATGGGGACAGCACATTCCACACTCAGTAATTTTGCAGATAACGCCTTGTTGGGAGGAAGTACTGCACACCAAGTTGGGAGGAAGCACTGACGTGCCTGGGGGAAGAAAGGCCTGATGTAGGGATGCAGACAGGCTGCATGGTTGGGCTGAGGCCAGCTGTAGGAGGCTCAGCAAGACCAAGTGCCAACTTTCACATTCACTCTCCTAATGCTGACAGTGCTGACTGAGCACAACTCCATGCTCAAACTTCTACTTTCATTGTTTGTGACCAGACTCATGTGCGTGTCACTCTCAATCTCTTATATTCTGAAGCTGGGATTCCACAGCCCTCTTTTAAAAACAATCAAATCATCACGACGTAGGAATTAAAAACACTTAAACAGAATTATGGAAAATAAACATACGTACCTCCTGTGCTGCTGGGCTGCTGTAAAACACTGCTTTATTCCTTCTCTCTCAGCCAACGTTCACCTAAATGGGACAAAAAGAATTTAAACTCATAAGTTACATCTAGTTGCTAACCAACACTTTCTAAATAGCACTGAATCTCTTACAGATACTTTGTGCTGTGACACTGAACGATGGGGCTGACAGAGCTAACAGCACTCAAAGGGCTGGTCTGTATTCTGAATTAAAAGAAATAAGTAAAAAAAAAAAAAAAAAGCTGCAACAGCAAAAGTCTGAGTTCTGCCAAAGTTGATTAACTCCTAAATCCCATCTGTGAGAGATGCAGCTCCTGCAGTGCCAGCAGTGCAGCGCTGTCTTACAGAACCTTTATATAGATATGATACAGAACACTGTACAACTATTCATCACTTAATTTCAACAATAACTGAGGCAGGTAGGGGGATCACTAACAGCACTCCTGATTTTACAGAAGGGTGGAGAGGATTGTCTAAGGTAAATCAGTAAGGAACAACAAGAAAGCATCCAAAGCATCCTCCCACCTCTGAGAAAACACATGGTTTGTTTACAAATAAAAACATCTTTGACCCAAAGCCAAGTGAAGTTTGAAGATTTGAAAACAAAATCATTAGCAGACTTCAGCTCACATTCCACAAGAAATGTGGCTCAGCTTAAGAATCCATTTCAACTCTAAACTGCTCTCCCTGTTCTGTTATTGTTCTCCTGTTACATCCAAGCAGAATTTCCCTTGTTGCAGCTATGATCTTAATTAATGCCCTTAGTAGTGAGGTACTAATTAAATAAAAGTACTGACACAGACTGTAGGTAAAGCAAGGCATGCTGGTACTAAGAGGGCAAACTGCCCAGCATCAAGTATCAGTGACAGAGCTGCAAATACAACATCGGGGCCCAAACTCCTCATCTTCTGTCACCTTTTAGACCAAACAACCTCTGATGATGTCCCAGAGAGGAAAATACGAACAGAACCTCTCCTTAGGCGTCTTCTTTCTACCTGTAGCAGAGCTCCATGCAGGGAAGGAGTGCAATCACACGGGGCCAGATGTTCAGCACATCAAAATCCATCAACTCCAGTGCCTAAAGTGAAGCTATGCCAATTTACATCAGTTGATAGTGTGACCTATATATAACGAAAACTTGCTTGAAGCAACTAAGGAATATAACCTTGATTTATTCCAAATGCATTATATTTAACGCTGTCGCTTTTCTCTTTCATGCCAACATGCAAGAGCAGGAGACAGACACATTTGGATCCTCTCAGCTGGGAATCGTGTTCTTGCAACACTCCTAGATGATGCACATACTGTCTCTATTTGTGTTCACCCTTTCAGATGGCGTGGTGCCCATGAAAGAAGCTGATTAGCGCTTGCCCTGGGCTATCAAGGCAAGGCAATGGTATGTTTAGATCAGCAAACTGTATAACAATATAAATGTCATCTCTTCTACTGGAAGCTTTGGCAGTATTTGCATCTTGTACTTCGTTGCATGTATGTGCCAAAAAGAAACCCAAGGACACAGGAGAAAGACAGGCATGGGATTCACCAGCCTTCCCCATTGCCAAAACATGCTGTACAGCAGTGGGTGCCTCATTAATCCCCAAAGACCATCTACTGGGTGTCAGATTATATGTAACATGAGCACTACTGGTCCGTATACGTATAGCCTTTTTTGTTCAGCCAGGCTCACAAGCAGAAAATGAACCACAGAGTGTCTGGCACAGTTCAAGACACGATCTGTACACTTGCCCAGAAAAGATGGCATTCAGCCTAAACAGAATAGCCCTGGGTGGTTGTGCAACATCTCTGCTGCTAGGGCAAACTGTAGCAATATCTAGCAGATACAATGGATAATGGGCTGAGGACACTGAGTGTGGGACACTACTGGAGTGCAAGCCAGGCCTCTAATGGCCTGGCACTCATTAGCGTTTGATTGTTACTGGAGACCTATATGACATGAAATTATGGTCGCACTCCAATTCCTGAGCGAATGTCAGCACCATTATCACAGTAAGCATCCATCTTAGGCGTCTTACCAAAGAAGCCAAGGGCTGAATGGGAAGAAAGGCTGATCTATGTCTCATTGTCAGTGCAGGGGGCTTTCCAGGACAGAGCTGGGGTGAGCTAGCAGGGTTTGGAACTGCTGCCTTCCTAAGTCCTACTGAATTCTGCAGCAGAACAGGACGGGATGCAATAAGATACAACGCAGCAAAGATGTAACAGAAGAGAGAGAACGCAGACAAAGGTAGGAAAGGCGATTCTGCACATGGGCAGAAAACTGTCACAGAATGACACGCTGAAGGGATAACAGGATGATACACCCAGATCATCAGAAACAGCACAGTAAATACATAACTCACCAGGACACTGCAGCAAACACAAGGAATGTGCTCTGCAGTTTACATGTTGTTAAACCAGTAAGAACAAGCAGTTGCATTGAAGCCAACCCCAACCTTCCGTGTCCACGCACCCAGCAGTCCCAGGCACTCTCTCTGGGGTACCCCAACATTTTCCTCCTCCAGCAAACCAAGAGCTTTCCACACACTTTTAGAAACTGACAACCGAATGCTTTATCTTGACCACTGATGGCCATCATTTGCTTTCTCAGTGTTTTCATGACAAACACCCGAACCAACAGCCCTTTATGGGTGCCCATCTTTGAGATACCCCTTCGTTGCTCTGTATAACTGCATGGAATCTCTGTTTCGTTGCACAAGGGCTGGTGTTTGAACCACAGCATGGATTGTAGGAGCACAGAGTGACCCTCTAAGCAGATTATGCAAAGTGTCACTTAGCATTAAAATTGGAAATGAGAGTTTTTTATTCTTAGCTATGCTAACAAAAATCAGAAACGATACTCTGGATTTCTGATATTGAAGTGGAGCCCTCAACTTTCTGAGAGCCCTTAGTCATGCCCTTACTCTATTGCATATCCCTCAGAAATTCCTATTTACACCGCTTTATGTTGGCTACTTCTTTTATTTCTGAAAACCTGAGATCTGTCTGAACTGCTGTGTTTGATAACCAATACCCAGATGCATTACACTTAGATTGCATAAGAGGACTTTCACTTTGTACTGAAGTTTACAGGAGAGAGATATTTAAAAGATTGTGAAATGTGATAGTGGGGGAAAAAAAAGTGCTGGAACATAGCCATCAGAATTCCAGTACAAATTGTTGCAGCACCAGAATTACATTGCAAATGAATGCTAATTAAGATGTTGGGAAGAATTCTATCGTCGAATAAAGAAAGCAATGCACCTTGTGCACTTGTATCAAAGTGTTCTACTACTCTGACTGCACTGAGGATAAGCAGCCCTTTATGTGATACAGATGCTAACATAAATCTCTGCCTGATGCTTCGTGGCTATTGCCCAAGGAGCAGATTCAGATTCTTACAACAAGCAGTGCCACCCTGCACATGGAAACTTAACAAAGGCACTTCAGGTACTTCAGGTGAGCATCACAACTGGAGCTGTCCAAGAAAACACTATGTCAAATGACCTGGATTTCTCTCAAGGATGGTTTTTTATTGTCGGCTTTTTGAAAGCAATTAGAGATCATTCTGTTGCTATCTGTCAGTCGTTTTTGCTTTGGGTTTGTTTGGTTTGGCCCCACTTATGTTGGATATTTGGAACAATTTCCCATTGCCTGTACATTGATCAGCCTATTTCCAAAGTGTTTGATGGATCAGCTTGGGGTTTGATCACAAACTGTGTCAATGCTGGGTCTATTTATGGCATGTATATTTAAGATGATAAACAGGGCAGGTTTTGCAATGGTAATGTGGAACATAAGAAGAGCCCAAACAAAGAATCCCATTGACACAGCTATGTTTTGGATCAGGCCCACTGTGAATCTGAGGACAGAATAAGAAGCAGGATGGCTATTCCCTTCCAGTAAATATGCAAAGTTCTCTTCTCACATACAATGGAAACAGTTTTACACTGATGTAGATCATGGTCCATGGATAATCAGCCCACTATTCACTTCCCCAGCTTTGCGGAAGCGTAATCAGGAAAGCATTATGAAGAAAAACCTGCCCTGCAGGGATAGACTTGCTTTAATAATGTTTATGACTTGTCCATATTGTATTTATGTCTGGAAGTTGATTTCCTGGGTTTTCCCACCCTTCCCCCAACTCTCAGCCCCCAAGACAATCTGCAAGCTGAGCCTCCCCTAGGATAAATGGGGAAAGCTCCACAACTCTGATGGGCAGCACTCTGCTCCTGCAAGCTCAACATCAGACACAGAAATAATGCTGATTTTACTGAACACAAAGGTCAGAGCTCACCTTTCCCTGAAGCACATGGCCCAACAACAAGCCCCCATTTCACAAATTAATGGATCAGGACTGCAAGTGCAACACTGTGCTGGCTGCTGGCTGCCCTTCTCACTTGTCTTGAGAACAGTCCAGACCCAGGCCATGGGCAGCAATGCTAAAAAAACAATGATGTAAAGCTCCCCCAGTACCTGCCAGGCTCACCATTTTTACTGAGCCTTATAAATGTGCCATCAGTACCAGCTCTTCTATGGCCATCAATCTTAGTCACCCAAATCCATCACAGAACAAATTCAGAGAGGAGCCAATCTGCAGAGGAATTGCAGAAAAACACGGAGAGATTCGTTCCATTTGTGTGCTCTCAGACGCATTCCTCAGGCAGAAATTTGCTGGGTTTGTTTCTGCTATTCCAACTCTGCTTTCACTGCTCATTTCTGGAAAACCTGCCTCAATCATCTCCATTTTCTGATGCTTTCCAAAGCCACCAAATATTAAAGCCTGCTTTGGCTGCGTGGCTGTTAACATCTGATGGTGCCTGAAGGTGTGCACTGAGGTGAGATTTCCAGGTAGAAGATACATCGAATAGGTATTTCTTGTTCATTGGGTTTTTGGGTGCTTTTGTTGTTGTTGTTACATGGCACTGTTGTCAAAAAGCTTTGAGTAACACAGCGTAAGGCTGCAAAAATTCCCAGGTACCGCTAATTTGCGGTTGCCTGTTTGTTTAGACTCAAAGCTGCTCCTACCCAGGGATGGCTGAAGCCATCACACAA